AATCTAATGAAAGGCAGCAGTCGAATCTGACCATGCGTAAATTGTACTAAACGGGATAGTAAGAGTTTGTAATAAATAAGATTTTAATTTACTAAGAATTGCTGCTGCATTGAGCTCAAGACGAGGAATAGTTTGCACTTGTTAGGAGACGCACATAAGAAAAATAGCAAAATAACAAAAACGAAGGTATGTGACAGCAGAAGATCCACGTATAGAGACATCGTAGAACCCATGAAACAATTCCATTTAAAGGAATATAACGAGGTATAGAAAACTTAGAGAACAAAGACAACTCAAGTGGAGTTGGGTTCCAATCTCAAAGTGACAGGATTACGAACACCATAAGGATCTAATATGTGAGCTATTTGGCTTAAGAGATTTTGTTTAGTACAGGAAGGTTGGGGAGGTAGAATTTTGTAAAACAAATCATCAGTTGTTAGATTCCATCCAAGTTCAACGAACATTGATCGAAGTCAGATGAAAGATACTATGGCAGAATTTTATCCAAAGGAATATGAGCAAGCGAGAATAATTGAGGAGCATTATTGAACAAATACATGTTTAAGATTTTTTGTATCTACGTACATTTGTAAAAGTATGTAACAATGAAACACTGAAAACTTTGTTTTCAAAGTTCCACAAAATTTATTTTAACTTATCACTACAACTGTTTCGGCTGATTGCCTTTCTCAAGTGATCTATTTTTGGCATGCGTTTACGTTTTATTTTCCATAGATTCTAACAAGGATAGCTTAAGGCCTTTATTTTGAATGTGAAGAATTTTAAATTCTTCCAACCAACCAACTTGAGACAAACGGTTCTCCCCTCCCCAACCTATTTCATTAGAGACTATAAAATGTAAACGCATGCCAAAAATAGATCACTTGAGAAAGACAATCAGCCGAAACTGCTGTAGTGATAAGAGTTAAAATAAATTTTGTGGAAGTGTGAAAACAAAGTTTTCAGTGTTTTATTATTAACAAAAATTTAGAAGTTATTTTACGAATTGTCACCTTCAAATTGTTGGTACAAAAGTTATATCTAAGTATCATCGCTTTTAATCAAAGCTACGTCGATAAGACACTTTTGTCTTTATGTTGAAACTTAGCATTCGCTCGTCACAGGTTAAAAAACGAATTCCAGTCCCTGCAATAGTTTGGAACGAACATCTGACTCTCTAATGAAAAAAACTGTCCGTATTTATGCTGCAGATCCATGTCGGCTGTATGCCAACCACAGGAATGGGCTCATCGGTTTACTGGTCTATAAAACAAGTAAGCCGAGATGGATAAAATATATACCAACGTTCGAATACGAGCTTTTTTCAGATTTATGCTTTCGTTGTGCGAGTTTTTGTAATGGTAAATAAATCCGGCCAAACTTTTAACAATATTAAAACTCAGGGAAATATGGTACATACGTACTCGCTGTAGCAAACATCATATCGTGTATGCCATACGTGTGTGGATTTTTAACAGTTCTACCAACACTGCGAGTATTGATAGGGCTAACACGTTGCAAGGAATACTACAATCTAATTTTGTATTCGTATTTGAAGGTGACATTCGGATCTTATTTGGAAAAATATTCCACTTGCTACGTACAACAAAGATATTCAAATATTACTTATTTTAGAGAGGTTCGAAAGGAAAAAAAGATACAAATGACAACAAAAAAACTCAAACGAATATCCTGAGATATGTAATATCTGATACCAAATAGTCAATTTTGGTTTATAAAAAACTATTGTACATGAACCGAGTTCATAAAATTAGCGATATAAAGTGAAACCTCTGTAAGCGACCACTCCTATAAAACAACCACCTGCTTATAACAACGTATTCTGAATTCTCGGCCATTAGAAATGAAAATCCCCTTTTTTTTGTACCACTTTCTGCTCACTGTTCTGTTTAGACCATGGGCACCCATCATCGGATTTTCCTAGTACCCGTCAGTACCCGATAAAATTGATTTTACATGCTTTTAAGATCTGGTTTTAACATTTCGTTCAATTTTAATTTTTTTTTGTGTGAACTTAGTGTTGCTTACTGCTTATTGATTTTTTTCTGGCGGGAAAAAGGAAACGCCTCTATCAAAGAAAAATGGATCTAATTAAGAGAAGTCAAAAATTTAAATTAGGCTCAAGTGACCATATTGCTACAAAATGAAAAGTTGTAGTAGCGTTGACCAAAAAAGAAGATTTCTCAAAAACGAGGGACTTGCTATGGTTCAAACTGCGTTCAATTGGTTTTGTAAGCCTGGAAACATGAACTTGCCAATATCTGGACCTATAATTCAATCTAAAGCACTCGAACACTAGTTGTACTTTTTAACAACATATATAATAGCGGTAAAATTCCGGAGAACTGGTTGCAGTCAACATTTATTACAATCCCGAAGAAACCAAATACCCAGATTTGTGATGACTACCGGCTTATAAGCTTGATCAATCATGTCACTAAAGCGTTCACTAAGATCATTCATAGAAGAATATATGATAAATGTGAGTCAAATATTGATAGATCGCAGTTTGGTTTTCAGAAAGCACTTGGAACTAGAGAAGCAATTTTCGCTCTCCATGTGCTTATACAGCGGTATAGAGACGTTGATAAGGACGTGTATTTGTGCTTTGTAGATTTTAGAAAAGCATTTTACAATGTCAATCATGAACAATTGATAGGTACTCTGCGAAAGACAGGTATTGACGACAACGACATTCGAATTGTGGCAAACCTATACCGGGGTCAAACAGCAAGAGCAAAAATTGGAAACGAACTCACTGAAAGCGTGCAGATCAAAAGAGGTGTCCGTCAGGGGTGTATATTATCCCCACTACTATTCAATATGTATTCCGAGGAAATATTTAACAAATGTATGGAAAATGCAAATGAGGGCATAAAAATAAACGGCGAGTTAACGAACAATATAAGAAATGCCGACGACACGGTGATTCTTGCCAGTACCATAGACGAATTACAACAAGTAATGGAAAGACTTTATTCAGTTAGTGAGGAATACGGTCTGAACCTCAACTTAAGAAGACAAAGTGGATGCTGATAAGCAAAAAGCAACAACCTGCTCGACAATTACAGATAAGTAAGCATACTAATTGACCATGTACAATCTTATGTGTACCTTGGCACCAACGTAAATGCAAAATGGGAACAGACCATAGAAATTAAGGCAAGAATAGAACGAGCTAGAGCAGCATTTGGCAATATGAAAAAGCTCTCATAAGCAAGGATTTGTCTCTTCCCCTAAAACTACGTATAGTTAAATGCTACATTTTTCCGATCTTGCTGTATGGCGTGGAGGCCTGGACGCTGACGGAGACGCTAACGAGAAAACTAGAAGCATTCGAAATGTGTACCGACGCATTCTTCATATATCCTGGACCGTACATGTCACCAACATAGAGGTACTCCAAAGAATCGGAAAGGAGAAAGAAATCGTGAATACAATTAAACAAAGAAAGCTTGAATATCTAGGCCACATATTGAGACACGATAAGTACCGTCTGCTACAATTGATTGTCCAGGGAAAAACAGACAGTAAGCGAGGGCCAGGCAGGAGAAGACACTCGTGGCTCTAAAATCTGCGGAAGTGGTTCGGGCTCACATCGGTCGAACTATTCAGAAGCGCCGCAAACAAGATCAAAATTGCCATGTTAATAGCCAACGTTCGCAACGGACAGGGCACTTGAAGAAGAAGAAAGCACTCGAAGTTGCGCAATGACTAGGACTAAGTGCTTTACTTTCCTTTACATACTTTCAAGATAATATGGTGCGAATCCGCTGTTGGAAAAAAAGGAAGAAAAACAGTTTCCAATCCAATTCACGTGAGAATACTTACCATGAGGAAGTGAAATCTCGAATAAGGAAAATTGTCCATGATTTTTTTTTTTTTGAAAACATACCACGAACCGTCGATAACATAATGAACAGAGTGAAGGACGATGAAGACCTGCCGGCTTTTTCAAAAACCACATTTTTATATGCTACTAAATGACATGGGTTTTGAATATGGTAAAAGAGGTCGAGTTTTGATAATGATGGAAAGAAAAGATATCATATCCTGGAGATACAAGTATGAGCTGCTCAGAATTATTATACAAGGAAGGATCCAAGGAAGAAGAAGCATAGGTAGAAGATGCATCTCCTGACTGAGGAACCTTAGAGAATGGCTTAACTGTAGTTCACTACAACTTTTCAGAGCAGCAGAACATAGCCGTTATGATATCCAACCTCCGATAGGAGATGGAACTTTAAGAAGAAGGGGATACAAGTACCTTAGGCAAATAAAAAAATAGAGGAAGAAAGGTAATGTAAACCTTGTCTACACCGATGAGTCTTCAACTAACGTCGGTGCTTCAGTCAAAAAGAAATAGAGGGACACAACGATCAAAAATCCACGGGATGCCTTCATAAAAGGGCTCTCTGTCGGTTTTAAAGCTCCAACCCAAAAAGGTCCTCAATTTGTTCTTCTTCATGCTGGAAACGAAACTGGTTTTGTGGCATGGACCGAATTAACTTTCTTGTCCAAGAAGGAACCGCTATTACCACGTTGAAATGTACGGGGATCTATATGAAAAATCTTTTGAGAAGACGTTAATTTCAAACTTGTCGAAAGACAAAGGAAAACCAAGCGCGTATGGTCCTGATTTTTCAGTCTATCGCCAAACTATCACTCACCTACCACTGTGCCGACATGAGCGGCATCGCTGCGGACCATAAGACCAATACTGCATTCTAACTGTGGCTTCTACTATAGCACCTCTTTAGCTGAATTGAAAATGGATTATTTTATATTTTTTCATATTTCATTGTGTTATTTTTGTTGGATTTTCTGTTAGGGTTGTATAATATAAAATACTGTAATATTATAGTATACCATTATTCTCCAGCAAACAAACTTCCCTGATGTTATTATGAATTTTCTTTATAAATGTGCAAAGTGGCTTAAGGAACCTAAAATATTAATAGCATTATTTTTTGTTGCAGAAATTAGAAGAACGAATATCGACTATAACAGATTCAGATGAAAAAGTTAAATGTCAAGTTATATTAGATCATGCAAATGTAAGTATATACTAATCATACAAAGACCATTTATTATATTGATTACATCTTTATTTACCTTCTTTCTTCCATTGCATTGCTAAATGTCCTTTTATATTCGTTAAATGTATTGTTTTTCGTTCATCTGGTTTTTGGTTCATTCATTTGGTTAATTAAGTTCATGTTGTTTCCTCGGATTCGTCGCAGACTAAATTGGCGAGAAAACGGTACATGAATAAAAACGGAAAGAGAAATTTGAGGATAGCGCTCTCGAATATAACTGCCATGAATAACAAGGTTTTTTTAAACTACCTATTATCATCATCATGTAACGGGGGTCCTACGGCGATTGCCGCTTCCCGTATTTCAGCCTCCATCTTTTCCTATCTCTCCAATCTCCCTCTTCTAAGCCTCTAGATTGCATTGTTTTTGTAATTTCTCTTCTCCAGGAATTTGGTGGTCTTCCCCTTTTCCTTCTTTCTGGCGGAACATACATTAAGGCTTTCTTTGGCCACCGCTCCTCCTCCATTCTCATCACGTGACCATACCATTGTAATTGCCTTCCTTGTATTCTATCTGAAAGAGTATCTCTAATTCCTGTACGGTTTCGTATTTCCTCATTCCTGATTCTTTCCATTCTCGATACTCGACATGACCTTCTAAGATAATCCATTTCCACAACGTCTACTTTATCTCGTTCATTCTTTGTCATCGTCCAACATTCGGCACCATATGTGGTAATTGGTTCTACAATTGCTCTGTATACGCGAAGTTTGGTATGCATCTTTATTTTATTAGACCACAGTAATGAATTCAGTATTCGGATGCATTTTTTCCCTTGGGTTATTCGGTTTTGTACATCTATCTTAACTCTGCCATCTGCTGATATGATGCTTCCTAGATATTTATACTGGTTGCAGCCTTTTATGACTGCGTTTTCAAGCCTCAGATCTGTGGTATTTCCTACAATTTTTAAATATTCTGTTTTGCTTATGTTTACAGTAAGCCCCCATTTGGCATATTCCTCAAATAATTTTCGATTCATATAATTTATATCTTCCTCATCGGTTGCAACCACCACCTGATCATCTGCAAACAACAATGTATACAGAGTTTCTTGTCCCACTTCGATGCCCATAAATCTACATTTATTTCTCCAATTCCTCAATGCTTCTTGGACGTATATTTTAAAGAGTGTCGGTGACAAACAGCATCCTTGCTTTAGGCCTTTAGTGACTTTAAATTCATTTGAGGTTCTGGTTCCAATTTTTACACAACTAACTGCATTTTCGTACAATTTATATATCGCTCGGATATACGTCGAATCCAATCCGGACCTTTTGAGGACCTCAAACATTTTGTTTAACGGGACACTATCATATGCTTTCTCAAGGTCTATAAATACCAAATGGGTCTCTCTACTTCTTTCGACACGCTTTTCAATTATTTGTCGTAGGATAAATATATTATCAAGGCAGGATCTCCCGGTACGAAAGCCGCTTTGTTCTTCAATATCTTGTATCTGTCTTTCAACCCTCTTCTTTAATATTCTGCCGTACAACCGGCCCACAGAGCTCGTCACACTAATACCTCTATAATTGGAACAGTCTCTTTTATTCCCTCTCTTATATATGGAGCTTATATAAGATTTATTCCAATCTTTAGGAATTTCCTGGTCTCCACACATACATTTATTGAAAAGGTCTACTATTAATTCTAAAAGTGCAGTCGGCCCATATTTAACCAGCTCTATGAGAATGTCTCCAGGCCCTGCGGCTTTTCCGTTTTTAACCTCTTTTAAGGTTTCCGTCAATTCAGATAATGTTATTATAGGGATTTCCTGTCTTTCGTCTCTGTTTGTCTATTAATTCCCTTATCTTTTCCCATCTGTACTCTACTCTATCCTCTTTCAGCAGTTTCGTATAATATTCTTCCCATTCATTTAACTTTATGAGAGAAATGTTGTCTTCATTTTCTCATTTTTCCTAAACTGTTTTAATGTTTTCCAAGCTTGCGCCACTTTTGTTCCACCCATAAATCTGTCCAGTTCATCACACTTAGCCTCCCAGTTTATATTTTTCGCCTTATCCACGTCTTTTTTAACTTCTCTATTGAACTGTAACCTCTCAGGCCATAAGGTTCGCTTTTTCGAGCTGGGAAATTGTACGGTCCATTAAAAAATGTAATCCTTTATCATCGACTTAGTGTCTTAATAATTATAATGTTCGCTACTCATACAGTTCGCTACTTATAATGCAATTTAAGGGTCTTCAGACCTCATCATGTGGATAGTTCCAAATACTATATAGACATAAGTAATAAACACATTTTCAATTTAACAGTAAAAATTTAACCCTTTTGTTTTCATTTTGAATTGGTTATACTTTTAGGTTTTTCACTGAGGATGATCTGATAGGATCCAAAACGTTCTGAAAAAATTTTAAATCCATTTTGGATAATTTTTAAAAATTTTAATAATAAATTAGTGAAAAGATTCTTCTTATTGAGGAAGTTTTTACTTCACTTTAAGTTTTTTTAATTGTATTTACTATACAATTAAAATTTACTATACAATGAAACAATAACTAAATAAAAAGTATTCAAAACACAATAAAGATTTTCATTATTTGTTTCGTATGTACTAGATTTCGTAATAAAACTGACTCCGCATTCCTTTTTATCACTGATTATAACTTTTCTTTTGGAAATCCGTTTGTGGGAATTTAATTAAAGAGTGACTTTACAAAATTCTGTAAGGATAAACGTGTACAACCAAAAACCCATTATGAATATTAAAAGCGTCTTCATTCCACAAATCCAAAACCCGACATTATTCGAAATTACGCTGTATCAGAATAAAGTAAGTATGTAAGTACCATTAAATTCGAAACCAATTCACTTCAAGTATCCTTTTAGTATGCATCTCGGTTAGTTTAATAATGCTTTCGTAAGGCTATTTTTGTATTCTTGCGGAGTGGATTCTATGATGAGATCATAAAATAAGAACGAGGACCGTTAGATGTACATTTTTCTTGGTTTGACGAATATTTATAGTCGAATTGGAATATATTACTTGAACTAATATTTTTAATTAAACATTAAATAATTGCGTCTGCTTATTTATTTATTTACTTTAGATATATTTGCTGTGTTTCTAATAAATTCTTGAAATTAACGTATTGTTTAATATACACTCAGATGCAAAAAAACGCAATGGAGAAAATTTTGGTCAAATTCAAAGTATTTAAATTTTTTATTTTTAGCCATATTTTGATGATTTTTTTACCCTATTGTGTATACATTTAATAAATTTTAATTTGGTATAATCAGTTTTTTGATAAAATTTTATATTTGACTTATACGGGGTTAATTAAAACGTGGTTTTTTTTATCCTAACTTTGAAACATACTATGGATGCTTCATAATTTCCGTTTGCGAATTTTCGTAAAACCTTATTTTTCTGTTGCAGCCATGTCTCCTAAGCAGTGTGTTTGTTTGTTTGTTTGTTTGTTTCATGTCAAAATATATCTTGGTTTAATATTTTAGAGTCAAATGAATTTGCCACCCACAATTTGGGACTTTTTTAGTTATAATTATTTGAAGTTATTTTGTAATACGACGAGATGGCTTTGGTGAAGCTATCTTCTTGGATTTGGGAACCCAGAATAATCGAAGGGGCCAAATCAGGAGAATAAGCCGAATAATTTTTGACATTGTCAATACGTTCTTTTGAGCCGATGCATTTTCATTGAGAAACAACACATTTTTCTTCTGCATATGGGGCCGTTGCTCACTGAGTTCATGCTTTAATGTATCAAATAATACACAGTAGTATTGTCTAATGATAGTGTTACCTTTTTTGGGATAGTCAATTAAAATTACGCATTTGCAATCCCAAATTACAGTGGCCATAACCTTTCCAAGCCATCGAGCCACTATTTCCCGGTTCCGTTCACTACCGTTCGTTCTTGCTGTTTTCTCGTGTGTGTAGTAGTGGATCCAGGTTTCATCAACGGTTACCAATCGACGCCAAAAGTCTGACAGATTGCGCTTCATAAGATCCACACACTGCTGAGAATTGATCACATGATCATGTTTTTGACCAATGATTCATTTACTTTCGTCACATTTTCCGGTGTAACTGAATCCGTAGGCCGTCTAGTACGTGATTAATGCAATGTAGAAATACTGCCACTACGGAATTCACGTTCACGGAACCAAAATTTGACGTTTAGTCTCAAGTAGCTTTAGACCCATAATATGTATCCAGCTTTTCGTTCCTTCGCCGTTTTGTTTCTTAAATAATAATGCTTAATGAGAGATCTACAATTGTTTTTCTCCGTGTGTGTTATGTTTCGGAAACACGTCAACTTTATGCAACTGTCAAAAATATACTAATGGCTGCGTCGAATTAAAATTTAACATGTGTGCCTAAAGAGGTTAGAATTTCTATAACCAAGGTTTTTATTCGGTCACAACAACCTATTCGACGAAGGAGGTTATTTACTAGATCACTAGATGAATATAAAAAACCTTTGTTATTCATCATTACTATGCGATAGGTATTTTCCCAGTTAAAAAGGTACGAGGATGTATTGGTCTCTAGTTAACCTAGATTGTTGCCATCGATAAAGAAAATAAAGCTTTACCATGCTTAAGAAAAAGAACTTCACGTCAAGAAATCAAACCAGAGTTGTGAAATAAAATTTGAAAATAAGGATGGTTACCAAAATTATGAAAATTGAAAAATTGAGCTGTTAAAGTTTGTGCGAATTAGAGGTAGAGGAAAGCTGAGAAGAAGATGGAATGCCTGTATGAAAGAGGACTTAAGAGAGAAAGGTTTAAATGAAGACGAAACGATGGACAGAAATGAGCGGCAAAGAAGAGTAAAGAACAGCGGCTCTTGAAAACCGAAAAAGTGAGAGAAGTAAGAGAAAAATTTAGTGTCGACCCCATCATCATGTAGTACCCGGTTTCAAATGCAGGGGCAAGGCAGTTTCACGAAATATTGTATCGCGTAGATAATAGAAACAGCTGTGCATTATTATGTAGTTTAATATGTTTACACAAGATTTTTTGTTCGTTTTTGAATAATTATATTTTGTTTGTTACAGATTATGTTGGATAACATCAAACACTCAATAGTATTATTACAAATAGCTAAAGTAAGTATATCTCTATCAATAAAACATTTACCAAATGCATGTGAAGTTTTACTTAATATCGTAAGCTTTAAGGTGTCAGAAGTAGAGTAATAGTCAAAATCACTGGTGGACGTGATGAATTTACCCTAAAATACTCAAATTGATAGAAAATTATAATCTTGATCTGTTAGTAATTTTGTTTAATACACTTTATGATACTGGTGAAATATCAGAAGAATCGTTAGAATCATTATTACCTTGCGAAATCAAGCTAACTCCAGACAATGTGCAGATTACAGATTAATAAGCCACGTACTTAAAATTCTACTATAAAATAAACAGTTCATACAGGTTATACAAAAAATGTGAAGAAGTGGGATATGATCAATTTGGATTCAGAGGCAGAATGGGGACAAGAGAGGCTTTGTTTTCCCTACAAGTGCTACTGCGGAAGTGTGACGACCAATGAAAGGATGGAGGTTAGCGATGACTTCAGCAAATTCATCTCTATCCTGTGCTTTTCTTATTAATGTTTGGAGGTCTCAGTCGTCTACGCTTTCCTTCTATTTGTCCTTCCATTATTAATTGAAGGAAGTTATATGTTTCTTATCTGAATATACGTTCAAGATCTTTTTCGTTTTTAATTAATTTCCAAAAATTCACGATCTATATTTATACGTCTTAAAACTTCTTCATTTTTAAACATGGTCAGTCCATTAAATTTTTATAATGCGGCGGAATATCCACATCTCAAAGATTTTCAGGCGTCGTGATGAGCTAGTTGTCAGCGTCCAGTTTTCCATGCCATTTAGTATAGTATAGTAGTAGATAGTAGTTCTTTACAGTACAATAAATTAGATGACATAGACCTTAGATTTATAAGAAACTTATATTAGAGACATAGTACCAAGATCAGGATTGACGATCAAACATCCAAAAATATTAGTGTAAGTAAAGGTTGTTCTGAAGCTATTTTCTTGTGGCATTGTAAATTAATTACTAATAAACTGGGAATAAGCCACAATTAAAGATAAAAATACGTTTATTGACGTTTCAAATTTCCACTTCGGAAATCGTTCTCAAAATACAAAAAAAATAGTATTTTGAGAACGATTTCCGAAGTGGAAATTGAAACGTCAATAAACGTATTTTTATCTTTAATTGTGGCTTATTCCCAGTTTATTAGTAATTAATGTAAGTAAAGGTGTAAGGTAGGGTTGTATATTGTCCCCTATGCTGTTAACCTTTACTCGGAACTGATATTCAAGAAAGTCATGGAAAACCTTTCTACAGGAATAAATATTAATGGAGAAGAAATTTCTAATATAAGATATGCAGATCACTATCCTACTAACTGGTACAGAAATTCTTAGACCAACTTAATGATGGTTATCGAGAGTTTGGAATGAAGATTAACGAGGAAAAACACCAAGATAATGATAATCCAAAAGCAGAATGTCCCTTTATCTTAAATGATAAATGGGAGTATATGAGAACTATATTATAAAAATACCTTGGTTTTCAGAATAACTAAAACTTGGCCCAGAATAAGAACAGGAAATTAAAGATGCGTGGTTTACTCCGCCATATATACTTATATCGATATCCATTTAAGATTAAAACCTGTAAAAGTTTGGTTTGGTCAGATTTTCTCTTTGGAGTCGAAACGTGGACTCTAAAGATAAAAAGTTTGAGAAGCTTATGCGTACAGCTGAAGAAATTTTTGCCCCCTTAACAGCTAACCTCCAATGATGGAGACGGCACATGAAGAAGAAAAAGAGTAATAAATTGTATGTAGAAAGTTCTCAATATAGCTTTAGTTCTTGTACATTTCGGTATAAACATTTCTGAATAAAAAGAAAGCTTATTTTCTGTACTTTAAAATAGTTTAAATGTAAAATATTCTAGTACTAACAGTAACCAAGATATGATTTGTCAAAGTGTAATGTGTTTGCAACGATATTTACTAACTTTTGTGGATATTTTTTTGAATTGCTAGTTATAACTTTTTTCCCTCTAGATTTAGATATATACATTTTGTTAAATAAAAAGTTTATTTTCTGTGCTTTAAACTAATTTTTTGGGATTCAGAGTGATTCTTTAATATATTTTTTACCTGTATTATTTCAAATTATTAAATTTTTACACAAAACAAAAAGAAACTTGCGGAGAATCGGTAAATGAAAATGAACTTTAGTCATAGAAAACGTCGTATTTGTTATGCCAATTTTATTTATAAACTTATTTCAACATTATCATTTAAACAATTTCAATGTCAGCGTCTATGTCTTCGTAGGCATTATCTTCACGATCTTTTTCTGATACTTTAGTTACGTCAGAGTCTGCAGAACATTGAACAATTGATTCCTAGCTTCCTACAACCGCAGTTTCCTGTACATCCTTTGGTACATCTAAAGACTATTTTTTTAAGCAAAGATTGTAGAGCAAGAACTTCGACAGTGAATATTGGAATTAACCCATATTTTGAAGTTTTCCCGGTCTAGTGAATCTTAAGCTTTATCCACAATATAAATTTTACAATTATAGAATACTTTTAAAATAAATTATAGCTATAAGAACCTTGCCTATAGATTGTCATTCCGTAGAGCAGTTTAACAATGCATTCAGCTGCAGAACCGATGTCATCAAAATTTACATTGTCTTCCAAAAATGTCGTTAGGTCTTTTCCAAAATTAGAAACATTCTTATTGATGAAACTATTTTAACCCATGGACGTATAAACACAGATGGACTTAGTTATTTACATAAAATTGTGTAGTCAAAATTATTTGAATAGGTCACATTCTCAGCACCTTCAACTGTTGTCACGTTTTGTTTTAAAATTTCTTATTCGCGAGTCGCTGAAAATATTACTCCGTATTTTATACTCTACAGGTGCTATCAAACCAAACTAATAATTTATTGGTTATATTAATATATTTAATTGTAATCAAAATATAACAACACGTTCAAAGAATTAAAAAAAAACGAGAGTTTAACTATTAACAAAATCACGTCTTTATAGAAAAATTAAAATACAATTTTATTTGCTGTAAAATTCATACAATAAACTATAGTTGAATTCAAGTTAATTTTTAATAGGTATCAAAATAATGCTACAATAAAAAAATCTTTATGTTTTCTCCTAAATTTGCTACCAAAATAGTTCGATCGTCAATATTATTTGGAAACCTACATAGAAAAATAAATGAGTTTTATTCATTTCACGCTTATGCTCATTGCGGAAGCATCACATTCTATCGAAGCTTCAAAACATTGTGTGTTAAAGGTATCTTATTGCTGTGTCCATCTATGTTTATACGTCCATGATTTTACCAATGCCAAAAAAAGGAACAAGTCGTATCACAGCCACTGAATTCGTGGATGAACGCTAGATATTTTTTTATGTGGGGTAACTCCATAATATTTTGATTGTATAATTTTGCAGTGACTTTTCCTATGCTTGGTTTTAAGAGATATATATTTTCCTGTATTTTTACTAATAAGCTTTCTTTTTTATTTAGTAATGCATATACCTAAATTTACATGAACACCAGTAAATACCACCTTTGAAAAATCATAACTGTGATACTATAAATCTTAAAGTTTTCTACCGAACGTTATTTGGAAAAGGAATGATAAGTTTTTTTCTGCAACACAATGCCGTTGAATATATCGACGTGGTAAAAAGCTATAGGGCAAAAAAATCCGCGTTTTTAGTTTTTTTTGTCTTTTTTTGAATGTTTTTGTAAAAAAAAATATTTTTGACTTTAAAAGACATTTAATTACTATTTAACTGGGAATAAGCCACAATAAAAGATAAAAATACGTTTATTGACGTTTCAATTTCCACTTCGGAAATCGTTCTCAAAATACAAACAGTAAATTAAACAAATTTTGTTTTTTCTTACATAGTGAAAAATTCTTCGAATAATTTAATTTTATCTGACTCATTTATATTGACAATTCAGACATACATTATGCATTTTAAAGTAGACGACTTTAAAATGATATTGCCAATATTGTTGAGTTGCGCTCCTCGGACGACTTTACTTATAAGATAGTTCATTCGATTACATGAAATCAACTTTAACTTGAGAATATCCGTCAGAAAAAAATCATAGCATGTAATTCGTCTTTAAAAAGACAAACACATGACATGATGACAGTAAAATTCTCCTGTTAGTGATTCCATAGTAAATTATGAGGACAAACCAGGAAAAACAACCTCTAATACTATCCCGACATTGTAAGTATTTGTTCGTGAATTTAGTTTACCTTCAACAAATATCAAAATTCAGATTTTATATGTTACGTTATTTAATAAAACTTAAAAGGATAGGAAATAAATTCAACATTTCAACAACATTCAAACAACAAACACGTTGAGATCTATTTTGTCCAAAACCAAACCTAACAATGAACAAGAAAGGACAAAGAATTGCATGTATAAAATACCTTGTGAATGCGATCAGTTTTATTTAGGTGAATCATCAAGGCCATTAAATGTTAGAATAAATGAACATCAATTTTATATTAAAAATAGAGAATTTGATAGATCTCAAATATGTAAACACGCATGGGATAATGAACATAGGGTTCAATGGAATAATTCAAATGTAGTCCTAAAAGAAACGGATGGTAAAAAAAGAAAAATCAAAGAAGCGGCTCTAATTATGCTAAATGAGGCCAATTGTGTCGCAAATTCCTCGGCAGAATGTAGTAGGATCTGGTTACCAATATTGAAAGAGGAAGTTATTAATAAGAAAATACCAGTATTAGTAAGTCAGTAACATATAGAGGATACATCATTTATGTTTTTTAAATAACGTAACATATAAAATCAGAATTTTGATGTTTGTTGAAGGTAAACTAAATTCACGAACAAATACTTACAATGTCGGGATAGTATTATGAGGTTTTTTTCCTGGTTTTTCCCTCATAATTTACTATGGAATCACTAACAGGAGAATTTTACTGTCATCATGTCATGTGTTTGTCTTTTTAAAGACGAATTACATGCTATGATTTTTTCTGACGGATATTCTCAAGTTAAAGTTGATTTCATGTAATCGAATGAACTATCTTATAAGTAAAGTCGTCCCAGGAGCGCAACTCAACAATATTGGCAATATCATTTTAAAGTCGTCTACTTTAAAATGCATAATGTATGTCTGAATTGTCAATATAAATGAGTCAGATAAAATTAAATTATTAGAAGAATTTTTCACTATGTAACAAAAAACAAAATTTGTTTAATTTACTGTTTGTATTTTGAGAACGATTTCCGAAGTGGAAATTGAAACGTCAATAAACGTATTTTTATCTTTAATTGTGGCTTATTCCCAGTTTAAATAGTAATTAATTTACAATGCCACAAGAAAATAGCTTCAGAACAATAAAAAGACATTTAGTGACATTTCGATAAGAAATTTAATTTCAAACAACTTTTTTGTAGATTATATGTATGAAAAGTACATAGAATTTGAGTAAAATATTGAACAATGTACTAATTCACCCTTTTCTCAAAAACGCACCCCTTTAAATGGTAGCACTCCGCGGGTTTTCATATAATAGTCTAAAAGTCAGGAATATTTCAGCAAATAATAAAAAAACACATTGATTTCCATCAATATTTTTTATCGAAACAAAGAAACTAGAATCAAGACTTTAATATATTAATATTTAATCAAAAAAACTTTCTCAAAAAGTTTTAAAAGATATAAACTTGTAGATTATATTTATGTAACTCGAAAGAAACGTTTCTAGTGGCAACTTTTTAATAAAAAAGTATGTTAAGAATTTGTATCGGATTTGGTTAATGTTTTATTTTTTGTTAATTTCACTTGTTCTCCTTTATTATCCTATATAGGAAAACGGAGAACATATATCTCTTTTGTCGTTTGTTTAATTTAAACTTTTCAGATAGGACTTCATTATTATTTTAATTTAAGAAACAAAAGAGAGAGAATTTTATATATATGGCAGTCCTTCACATATGTTTAGTTTTCTTTTGTTTCCAGAATACGGCGCACCCTGTAAACGGTATTTATCACCAGAGAGCGGGTACTTCGAACTCAAACGTCGCCTCAACGGGTAAGTCTCCTTGTCTCTTTTCTTTTGTATTCGCAGTTGATTATTTGGCCTTTGTTTCTGCGTCTCGTGGTCGCCTTCGCATCTGCATTGTTACACTGTCGTATCTTGACGTAGGGGTCTGTCACAATTCGCCATCGAGCTTAATTGGTCGTATGATGGATTGTTTATTTATTTAATCCCAGAAGAAAGGTGGTTGAAAAAGGGATCTGGCAAGATATTGATTACGTATGTGGAAAAACTTATTCGTTTGGAAGATTTTGGTTTCGTGGAGTATTCACAATAAATGAGAAAATTGTCTAAATGAAACGCAGCTAGTCGATACAATAAACTGTTAAGTTTGTTGGAAAATATACTAATTTTATAATATCTAATAAAGATAAACTGTTGTTGATGAGTGTTTACAGGTGCATTGATTTACTAATCAGTTCCCAGAAACATCTAGGCTGTGCATAACACGATTAAAGAGAATCCACATGTGACTTATCTCTTTGCATATCGCAGATTGGAATACAATCGACTTTACATTAATATTTAGGTTTTAGAAAGATCTGTTCAAGATGAATTCGGCATATTTTGAACTAAGCGCAAAAAGGCTCTTGTTTATTGATGTCATGAAATGCTAAACAAATTTGACGAGAATGTACCGGGTGGTCCAATAAGCCGATCTCTCGGCTATATATCAGAAACTATTCATGTTATAACTTTAGGAGAAAAAATTCCTTAGTAAAAGTGGCCAAGAGAAATCGCTGGAAATAACTTTCAAGATTCTGGATTAACCGCTAGGGGGCGTAACCTGCGAAGAAAATTTTGAAAACCAGTTTTTTGGGAAATATGTCCAATTATACCAAGTGTTAAATAAGTAAACTAGAAAGGGCATAAATTCTGCACAAAGTTGTTCAAGTACTTTTTTTTTATTTTTTCAAATAAAGGGTGGGGAGAGTGGGAAAGTATTTGTGGATAAATACCTATAACTTTGGTTTGGTCCAACCGATTTTAATGAAATTAGTGTCATTAGAAAGAGTGTGGATGAATTAATTCACATCTACTATAAAATACTTGCATTTAATTTTTATAGTCGTAGGTAAAGGGGACTTTCAAATAAAAAAAATTAAAATTTGTTTTTCTTCAAAATTTTTAATGGAAACACCTATTTATTGTAAATTATAATGGAACTGGAATAAATTCGTAACAAAATGGAGCAAACCGCATGTTAATAGCTTTTGTTGAACTCGAGATATGAATAAAAACTCATAAACATAAGTAAGTATAGTATTGACACACCCTGTATTATAAATTACATTAAAAAATAAGTCATTAGGTATTTTCAAATTTTTTTATAGCAGAAGAATTTTAATGTTGATAACTATTTTGTAAAAAATAGTTTTTTCGAAACTAAGTAGGCTACGACAATGAATTTGACGGGGAGTTCATATTTTTTATTTATTGACAGCAGTCAAAACATTGTTAAGAAGTGCTATATTATAATTCGAATTAAAGATTGCACTTTTTTCAATAGATATTAATATTGGTAATATTAGTAATTAATTATCAGTACAAATAATTCGTGATGAGTATATCAAATTGTATGATATGATTGGAGTTTATTTCGAATGTCACCAAAATGCCGCTATTGCCTCACGTATATATTTTGTAAGATATCGTGACAGGAGACATTATGGCAAAGAAGTATTTGAAAGAAAGGCAAAAAGATTAAGAGAAACTGGTAGTTTTTCTCGTCCTTGTTTTAAACGACGTAGTAGAGTTATGACCGAAGATAATTCAATCAATGTTCTTGCTTTAATTCAACAGAATCCACATATAAGTAGTCCGAAATATCTACTTCTTTGCCACAATATCTCCTGCCAGGATATCTTACAGAATATATACGTGAGGCAATAGCGCCATTTTGGTGATATTCGAAATAAACTCCAATCATATCATAAAATTTGATATACTCATCACGAATTATTAGTACTGATAATTAATTACTAATATTACCAATAGTAATATCTATTGAAAAAAATGCAATTTTCAATTCGAATTATAATACATATAACACTTCTTAACAATATTTTGACTGCTGTCAATAAATAAACAATATGAACCCCTAACAAATTCATTGTCGTAGCCTACTTATTTTCGAAAAAACAATTTTTAATCATATGAAATAACAATGGTCAAAATAGGTATCAACATTAAGAGTTTTCTGCTATAAAAAATTTTGAAAGTACCTACTGACTTATTTTTTAATTTAATTTATAATACAGGGTGTGTCAATACTATACTTACTTATGTTTATGCGTTTTTATTCATATCTCGAGTTCGATAAAAGCTATTAACATGCGGTTTGCGCCATTTTGTTACGAATTTAATCCAGTTCCATTATAATTTACAATAAATAGGTGTTTCCATTAAAAATTTTGAAGAAAAACAAATTTTAATTTTTTCTATTCGAAAGTACCCTCTACCTACGACAATTAAAACTAAATGCAATTATTTTATAGTAGATATAAATTAATTTATCCATACTCTTTCTAATGACACTAATTTTGTTAAAATCGGTTGATCCAAACCAAAGTTATAGGTATTTATCCACAAATACTTTCCCACTCTCCCCCACCCTTTATTTGAAAAAATAAAAAAAAAGTACTTGAACAACTTTGTGCAGAATTTATGCCTCTTTCTAGTTTACTTATTTAACACTTGGTATAATTGGACATATTTCCCAAAAAACTGGTTTTCAAAATTTTCTTCGCAGGTTACGCCCCCTAGCGGTTAATCCAGAATCTTGAAAGTTATTTCCAGCGATTTCTCTTGGCCACTTTTACTAAGGAATTTTTTCTCCTAAAGTTATAACATGAATAGTTTCTGATATATAGCCGAGAGATCGGCTTATTGGACCACCCGGTACAAAGTGCGTATACAAGATTGTTGTAGGAGACGAGACATTCATATATTCGTGTGACCCCATATAAGAGCCTACTTTTTGTTTATTTGAGAATTAACCGAATAACGCTAAATTTTTCGTTTATGGAGACAAGAAAATGATCGCTTGTTTCTTAGGTTGTACTGCACATGTCGCAACCCTTACATTAGAGGATCGTAGAACTGTTAATGCTTAATGATGAACAATTTGTTTGGTAACGGTTTTCTATAAATAAGGAAAATCAACAAAAAACGTCTTTCCGGCAGTGCCAGGTCCCATACTACTCCAAACAACTGAAAATTTGAAGAAGCAAATCTAATCAAAGTTGCATTACCCGAATTGATCCGATTTATACCTTATTGACTTTTTTTTATTCTTACTGTCAACAAAAGATGCGTGATTGGCTATTTTTATCACCCTAAGAAGCTATTCAAAATAGAGTAAATTCTTGAAACAGTTTTTGAGAAATTGGATTCTTAAAAGTTGTCTATGTTTGATTTCTTAAAAATAGGCAACCAAAATACAAACGCTAAAACTATTTAAAAATGTTTCAGGTCGTGGTCTTCTCTACATGATCCCGTTGAATTTAAAAATAATTATTATATCTTGAAATATACTTTACAATGTAAAAAATGGAAGATCTGCCACATATTCGCTATCATTTTGAATTTAAAAATAAAAAAAACATTTTCCAAAACAGTTTAATATGAAGTATTTTTTGACGACAGGACAACAGCTCTGGTGAAAATTTTAAAAAGCGCGCTAAAAACAACCTACCCACTTTTTTATTTCCAAAATAGACGTCTACGGACCTAAAAAGCAGAGATCTAGCAAAAAACCTTTATTTACATTTTTCAATTTCACCGATAATCTCAAACACTCTTCTTCTTCTTTAAGTTCCATCTTCTATCGAAGGTTGGAGATCATCATGGCTATACGGACTCTGTTGACTGCCGCTCTAAAAAGTTCTGCACTACTGCATTCAAACCATTCCCTTAAGTTCTTAAGCCAGGATATTCTTCGTCTTTCCACATTTCGCTTTCCTCGGATTTTGCCCTGCATAATAAGTTGTAATAATGCGTATTTTTGCCCTCTCATCACATGTCCCAAGTACTCAAGTTTTCGTCTTTTAATAGTTAATATTATTTCCGCCTCATTTCCTATCCTTCTAGTTACTTCCATGTTTGACATTCTTTGAATCCATGATATTCGTAGGATTCTTCTGTAACACCAAAATTCAAAGGCGGCCAGCTTATTCAGATGAACTTGTTTTAGTGTCCAAGCTTCCAGACCTTAAAGAAGAGTAGAGAACACGTAACATCTAAGCATTCTCAGGCGTAGTTCTAACCTTATATCCCGACAACAAAGAAAACTTTTTTAAGTTTTAATAAATGATGTACGTGCTATTTCAATCTTCTTCTTTATGTGCCGTCTTCTACCGAAGGTTGGCGACCATCATACGATAGGTTTCTCTGTTTTGTGCCGCATGAATTATGTTCGCAGCTTCTGGTATTTGAAACCATTCTCTCAAGTTTTCTCAGCCAGGATTTCTTCTTTTTCTGCCCAAACCTCTTCTACCTTCAATCTTGCCTTCCACGATAAGCTGTAGCAGACTGTACTTATCATTACGGAACACATGGCCCAGGTATGACTTCCTTTTAAACAGTTGTTAACAATTCCACCTCTTTACCCATTCGTCTTAATACCTCTGTGTTGGTCACTCTGTCTGTCCAAGGTATTCTCAGTATGCGTCGATACAGCCACATTTCTAGAGCCGCTAACTTCTTTATAGTTGCTGCTGTTAACGTCCCACCCCTTCTACGGCCGTAAAGTAGCGTAGAGAGTACGTAGCATTTCGTGGCGCGCCATCGGAGGTTAATGCTTAGGTTGCGGTTGCTTAAGAGCTTTCTCATTTTAATGAATTTGGATCTTGCTATTTCAATTCGGATCTTAATCTCTACTTCTGGGTCCCACTTGTCATTTACTGTATATCCCAGATATCTAAATCGGTGTACTCTTTCAATACGTTCGTCTTCAATATGCAGGTCGATATGTTGAAATTTTTTTTTACTGA